GCATCTTCTAATCTATTCCACTGATCACTGGGTCTGTTTCTTTGCCAGTACCATGCTGTTTTTACTATAGTTTTGTAGTATAGTTTCAAGTTGGGAATTGTTATACCCCCCTGCCATGTCTTTGTTGCCTAGAATGGTTTTTGCTATTCTAGCTCTCTTCTGGTTCCAAATGATTTTTTTGGATTGCTTTCTCAAGTTCTGTGAAATATACTGTTGGGATTTCAATTGGGATTGCATTGAATCTGTATAGCAGTTTTGGAAGTATGGCTATTTTCACCATGTTGATTCTTTCTACCCAGGAGCAAGGGATGTCTTTCCATCTTCTCCTTTCCTCTTCTATCTCTGTTTTCAGAGTGCTGTAATTTTCAGTGTAGAGGTCTGCTGTTCCTTTGTTACATTGATTCCTAGACATTTCATTTTTTGGATGTTATGAAAGGAATGGTTTTCCTAATTTCTCTCTCAGTGAGTCTGTTATTTGTGTACAAGAAGGCTGTTGATTTTTGAGTGTTGCCTCTGGATCCAGCTACTCTACTGAATCTGTCAATTAAGTCTAGAAGTCTTTTGGCAGAGTTTTTTTTTGTTGTTGTTGTTCTATATGTACAGTATCATATCATCAGCAAATAGTGACAGTTTAACATCTTCCTTTCCTATCTTTATTGCTTTTGCTTCTTTCTCTTATCTAATTGCTGTGACTAATTTTTCCAAAACTATAATGAGCAGGAGTGGTGACAGTGGACATCTTTGTCTCGGCCCTTATTTTAGCGTGAAGGTTTTCAGTGTTTGAACACTTAGTATGTTATTGGCTGTTGGTTTTTCATAGATAGCCTTTATCAGGTTGAGATAGAGGCCATCCATTCCAATTTTCTGCAGTGTCTTTTTTTTATCATGAATGGGTGTTGAATTTTGTCAGATGCTTTTTCTACATCTATTGAAATGATCATATCATTTTTGTCCTTGACTCTGTTAATAGAGTATATTACATCTATTGATTTATGTATGTTGAACCATCCCTAAATCCCTGGGCTAACTCCAACTTGGTCACAGTGTATGATCTTCTTGATGACCTTCTGAATTCTGTTTTCCAGTGTCTTCTTGAGGATTTTTGTATCTATGTTCATTAGGCAGATTGGCCTGTAGCTCTCTTTTTTGGTTGTGTCTTTCCCTTGTTTTGGAATCAATGTAACACTTGCTTCCAGCAATGAATTTTGAAGTATTGCTTCCCTTTCTATTTCACTGAAGAGTTTAAAGAGTAGTGGCAATAGTCCTTCTCTAAATGTTTTGTAGAATTCAGCAGTGCAGCCATCAGGACCTGGGCTTTTCTTTGTTGGTAATGTTTTAATTACATTTTCAATTTCACTGAATGTAATTAGGGTGTTTAGACTTTTTCTATCTTCTTTGTTCAACTTTGGAAGTTCATATGTGTCTAGAAATCTGTCCATTTCTTCTGTATTTTCCATTTTGTTAGAGTACAGGTTTTCAAAGTAGTATTGCTGATCCTCTGGATTTCTGCTGGATCTGTGACCTCACCTTTTCCATTCCTAATTGCATGAATTTGAGCCTTTTCTTCCCTTTTTAAAATAAGGTTGGCTAAGGGTTTTTCAATTTTATTTATTCTTTTGAAAAACCAACTCTTAAATTCATTGATTTTTAGTATTGTTCTTTTAGTCTCCATTGCATTAATTTCTGCTCTCATCTTTATAAATCCCTCTCTTGTACAAGCCTTCAGTTTGTCTTGCTCTTCTTTTTCTAGATGCTTAAGGTTAAGCCTTAGGTTGTTTATTTGAGCTCACTCTGTGTTCCTAGTATGGGCATTCACTGTTATGAATTTTCCTCATAGAACTGCTTTCATTGTGTCCCATAGATTCCTGTATATTGTATTGGCATTATCATTTAATTGTAGGAACTGTCTAATTTCTTCTGTGACCCAGTGGTTATTCATCAGGGTGTTACTTAATTTCCATGTGTTTGTGAAATTCTTGCAGTTTCTTATGCTATTGATCTGCAGTTTAATTGCACTATGGTCTGATAACATGCAGGGGATGACTTCATTTCCTTTGCATTTACCTAAGCATGTTGTATAAGCTAGCATGTGGTCTGTTTTGGAGAGTGATCCATGTGCAGCTGAAAAGTACATTTATTCTGGTTTTGTGGGGTAGAACACTCCGTAGATATCTAAACTACCATCAGCCATTTTCTCCTGGGCACCGATTTTGATGATGTAAGATGGCACCTTTCCTTTAAGTCGGTTCAGATCTTGTCCTCCAGCACCTGGCGCTCCAAGCTAGTATTGTAGGGACTCCCGGAGGACATGTGCTGGATTCAATCAGAGCCACTCTGCCGTTACTTGCCATAGACATCTCACACTGTGAGGTTTCATGAGATGAGAAGGTTTTTACCTTGTTGCCATTATTTTGTGTCACTGCATTAAGCATCCAGGTTCTCATAGTGAGGGGCCAAAGCCGAAGCTCCGAGTCTTTGTCATTCGCCTGGAATTACCTCTCCTGCTTCCTGTTCAATGCTTATCCTTGTGCACTACAAGCGAAGAACAGTGAGAGTTAGGAAGACAAGGAAAGAAGAGCTTTCCATGTGCTTTCACTACCTTCTTTCTTTCTATTCAGGTTTCATTGCAGTGTTGACATTTTGCACTAAAGAAGTAGGTTTGGGGTAGCGCTTTAGCCACTCGGTCTCCAAAAGGTTCACAATTCCTGGGGTTAATTCACCCCAGTAGTCGGTCAATACACTGTGTGCTCTCTACTCGGCATCTTGCCAATTATAAGGTTTTCTCACTCTGGCCGGAAGAAATACACACCACTTCAGTCCCATGGAAGCCCCCGGTGGTGATCCTTCTAGCCCTTTTGTGTGGCTTTGTCTGGACCCAGGGAATTTCTTCACCTCCCTACACCAATCAGTGCTCGGGCGAAGGCTGCAGAGGCTGCCGGTGCAGATTCCCAGGCTCTCGCTGCTGTTTTCTGTCCCCCACCGTGGCTGTGCAGGGCAGCCTCTTGGGGCTGCCTGAGCTTGCTCCCCTCTGCTCACTCTAGGGGGACCTCTGGGCTCTGCCTGGCGCCTCCTGGCTGCGCCGAGATCCGGACGCATGTCCCAGCTGTCAGAGGCATTCCTGGGACTGGCCTGGAGTGTTTCCCCACTGGCAAGAATCACCAGCCTGTGCTGCCAATGTCTCCTCTCCAAACTCATTTCCTGTGTTTTGTGCAGGACTGTCCTCGGTTAAGGCAAGAGGATAAACCCAGACACTGACGTTCATTCCATGCTAGCTGAAAGTTTGCTTGTGAGTAAAGCTCACCTTTGTGAATAAAGGTGTGAAATCAGAATTGCAATATTTAGGAGAAGAATTTTTGTTGAAAAAAAGCTTTTTGAGAGGTGGGCATGGTGGCACATGCCTGTAACCCCAGCATTCAGGAGGCTGAGGCAGGAGAATGACTGTGAGTTTGAGACCAGCCTGGGCTACATAGGGAGTTCCAGGTCAGTCTCAACTATATGGTGAGACCCTGTCTCAAAAAACAACAGCATCAACAAAAAAGCTTTTCCAGAATGAACTGAATGTAGGCAACTTAATTTCCTGGATATTTATTCAATGTGGTGGAATAGTTTTCTTTTCCCCCGATAGTTAAATTATGTTTATGAAGCACATTACTTATTCAAGTAACCTTTTTCAGTGTATCACTAAATACTTCACTGAATTCTTTGTTCAGACTCTACCATTGTGTATTCATTTTTCAGATGAATATGGATAATTTTTCCTTGGTCAACACAATTTTCACGCACAAACATTATTTTAAAAGATTCTTTGTAAGTTGCCAAAGGGGTGTATTTTAAGTATTCTCACCCCAAAGAAATATGAAGAAAGAGATGTTAATAAGCCTAACTTGATCGCTTTACAGTGTATGCAATGACTAAAGCACCACACAGTCCTCTCTAAATGCACACAATTACGTTGGTAAGAAAACTGCAAAGTTGGTGTAGTCAGTTTCGGTGGTCAAAGGACGGTCGATACCGAAGTTTCCTAAACACATCCCAGGGCAGAGGGTCGGGTGGTCCAGAACACCCGCGTTGCTGAGCAGTAAGGCGTCGCCAGCACCTCTGAGCGTCTCTGTGGCCAAGGACGCCCCGCAGTGCCCCAGGGCAGTGGCCATGGCCGTCCGCACACAGGCACAAGCCCAGGCCCCTGCTCCTCCGAGGGGCGCCTCCTACAACTTTGTCCAGGCTCAACGAGTTGCCGTGGCCTTGCCCTCCGACTCAGCAGCTCAGATTGGTCCCGAGCGGACTCAAGGAGGACAGCAGGAGCCGAGGCCAAGGGGCGGGGGGAGGAAGAGGAGGAGACCATCCAGGAGCCTAGAGGGAGCAGCCAGGAGGCGGGAGGAGAGCCAGGAGGGGAGGCCAGCAGGGCAGTCCTGGGCACGAAGACTTTCAAGCAGAGGGAGGGCGTGGGCACCCTGATACGGGGGTGGGGAGCAAGATGGAAAGGGGTGTTGGTTCCACAGGTGGACAGGAGGCAAGCTTCTTGCTTTAGGGCAGCAATAGGTGGCCTGGGAGCAATGAAGGCAGGGCAAGGACGGCCCTTTCTGCGGAGTTTGGTGACACCTAGAAGACCGGGGAGGATTGCCCTTAAGGTGTGAAAAGCTCAGAGTTCAGGGGGCCCAGCTCCCCTGCACCTCAGGGAATGAGCTCTGGGGGCTGTGCCAACATCCGACTCCAGCGCCAGCTTCCTGCAGACCAGGCGCTGTGTGGGGTGCATCCTCTCTGGGGACAGCAGTGGCAGGAGGACCCTGGCCCAGGCGAGGGCACTGAAAACAGCAGGTTGGCAGCCCTGAGTCTGAGCAGAACTGGAGGAGTCGGGAGGGGAGGGAGCTGGCAGGGCGGGCACAGGGCAGGAACTGTGGCCCTGCGCTGCTGCCCTGCAGCTGAAGCCACCTTGATGGTCACTGGTGGCACCGTGCAGCCCCGGGAGAAGCCAGAGGCTGCCCGTTCCCTGCCACCTGCCCGCAGCCCACAGTGTGCCACTCTGGGAGCCAGTGAGGGCCAAAGAGGCACCGGGCATCACCACTGGAAACGGTATCTGTGCGGGGACAACCGTGTTTGCAGGGATTTGTTACCGGAGGCCAGAAACCCACACCCGTGTAGAAGTGATCTTATTTACAGAGAGACACGCAGACTAGCACCAAACTTCACTGGAGTACATTTGAAGGGATCTGAATTAATAAACGCTTCCGGAATTAGTGAGTGAGAGAGACCGAGGGAGACGGGAGGAACGGGGAGAGATTATCCCACAAAATGAGCCAAACCAGTCCGGGGAAATGGAGTACACGGTGAAGATATTCAAAGAGGACCGCATGCTGGTGAACCAGGTTTCAGTCGTCAGAGCAGCAGCAGGGGTCAGAGAAGGTTACAGTAAAATACATCGTGCACTGCAGCGTGGGAATCTCCACCTCCTTCCCTTCATGCTGCGAGTGGGAGGAGGAAACCGCTCTGGACGAACTGTGTGCAGAGAGTTACACTCGGGCCCACGACCGACTTGGCGAGGGATGTCACAGGCCGGGCAGAGGCCCGGGAGAGGGGCCACAGCGTCTGAGAGGCCTGGCTGCGGGACCGTGGGGATTCAGGAGGGCGCTGGGCGTGGAGAGGAGCGAGCCGAAGTTGCTGGGCTCGAGTCCTGGGGAGCAGAGACCCTCAGAGGCCGGTGCAGGGGACCACGGGCTGCTCACAGATCCAGAAGTTCTGCGCAGTGCATACGTTGTCATTCCAGGTGTCCTGGAAGAGCTCCACACAGTCCTCGTCACCGTCATTGTTGGGTTCCCCATCCTGCCAGAAGCTGTGAACATGGGGGGGCGGTGCCCTTAGCACAACCCAGGAGGGACCATGCACACACCGGCAGCCAGTGTCCGGCCTCAGCGGGGAGCCTCCCACATCGGCACTGTGCTAGGAATTCAGGGCGGCATTGAGCAAGACGCGGGAGCTAACGGCCCCCCGAGAGTCAGCAGCACCAAGGGAAATACAGATTCTGGGACGGTGGCTAGGTGGCCGGATCCCCTGGGGGGTGAGAGCCTGTGTCTGGAGGCTCCTGGTTGGTGTCTGATACCGGATCTGAGGCGCTGCCCACCGGGGTCCGCTCACTCCTCCCGGGCGCCGCCCGCCCTCCCCGGGAGGCCTCACCTAAGCTGCAGCGGGGCGCCGTCCACCCACTGCCAGGAGCCCTCTCTGAAGTGGTCACTGAGGCCGATCCACGTGCGCTGGTCCTTCCTGACATCCCAGTATCTCAGGAATCTCTGGGTGAGAGGGGGCAGCAAGAGGAAGACCCTTCAGAGGCCTCGTCCCTGGCTGGCTGTTGTCCCCACAGCACCTGCACACCCCAGCGGAGCCCTCTGCAATCTCACCAGGACGCCCCAGGCAGGAAGAAGGCCCCGCAGGCGTGCACAGATGCTCACACATGCGTGCAAATGTGGGGACTTGTGTCTCAGCTCACAGATGTGCCCGGGGAGGGACTGAGTGCTGTGTCCCTCCTGGCAAAATGCACCGGTCCTACGTGTCCTCCCTCCTTCCCTCGCCAGAGGCCCTCAAGGGCTCCTCCCCCAGGAGGCTCCCAGGCTGCCTCTCCTCCCAGCGCCCCCTAGCCGCGCACAGCACCAGGAGAGGGGAAAACAGGAAAGGGGCAGAGCCCTTCCGCAGTACCCGCCCCCTGACGGCCCAGGCGGGACCCTCCCCGCAGGGCGCACCTGCTCTGCCAGGCTGTTGATGATCACCAGGTGGGCCCCCAGATCCCGGCAGGAGGACACAGAGGCTTCCCACACCCCCAGGGTCCTGGAGAAGAGGTAGCAGCTTCCCTGGAAGGGCTCCCAGTTCCAGGGGCAAGGACGGCACAGGCGAGCTGCCGAGGACGGGGTGGTCGGAACGGGGCTCCAATCTGGGGACCCGTCCTGCCCACAGCGCTGGGGTCCCAGGCCTGGGGCCCTGGCTTCGATGTCAACTCCAAGCCCAAGAAAGCCGAGAAAGACCCGGCTCCTCTCTTCTCGCTCTGCAGGCCACAGAAGGTGAATCACAGTCTCCTAGGACTGCATTTGGAGTCTCCAACTCCTCCATTTGGCCCTTACCCAGGGAGGCGTTGATCTGACCCAGCTGCTGGCGGATCTGCTCCAGGCCCGATTGCACCTGCTCCTGAGAAGCGGACCCTGGAAGACGGGATTTCAATTATGAAGCGCTTACCGCGTGCAGGGTAGAGGAGCCCGAGAGCCACTGCCTGTGGATCCCGCAGGGACCCGAGAGCCCGTTTGACAGAACAGAACACTGAGCCTCACACAGACGCGCCCAGCACAGCCTGTGCCCACGCTGCTCCCGACGCCCCGTCGCCCATGGATTGTCCTCCGCACGGCCTCGGAGCCCCTCCCCGGCAGGACCTCACTTCCCAGGGCCTCACCCAAGCTGGGGCTCTCCTGACGGTCCTGGGCCTCTGCAGCGGGGGACTTGGGGATCCTGGAAACTGCAAGAGAGAACAGCAGGTGCTCGCTGTTGAGCACCGACGGTAGGCAGGACCCGTGACAGCCGGCTCCAAGACAGCCAAGTCCTGAGCGGGGGAGAGTTCACTTCACTGATGGGTCACAGGCCCCGGAGGAGCGGACCCTTCTCAGGGCACCGGAAGGACTTGCAGCTCAGCCGTCCCAAGCCTGCTGGCCTGGGGCCAGGGCCAGGATCATCCCAGGAGCAAAGCTCAGCGGCGTGGGTGCAGCCCGTGAAGGAGGGCTTGGCTAGCACGTGACGGCCCTGAGTCGCATCCCTAGAACCCAAGCCCAAGCCGAGGACGGGTAAAAGGGACACAGGCCTGCAGCAGGCCCAGCCCCTTTCTTGACTCACCTTGAACCAGGGTCGTCACCAAGAGCAGGAAGCAGATGGCCAAGGAGAGAAACAGAAGCAGCAGCAGAGGCCAGGGGCCCCGGGACACTGCAGGACCGGGAGACAGGCAGAGCTGGGGCTGGGCACAGACCCTGCCCCCTCTGCCTGCGGCCCCTTGGCACCGACCGTGAGCCCCCCACGCAGTACCTGGAAAGCTCCTTGGCCATCGAGCGGGCACCTCGGTGTCTTCCCGGGTGACTCTCTGTCCTCCCAAAGTGTCCTCCTCTAATGGGCAGAACACACTCAGCGGTGCACACGCAGCCCGGTCCCCAGCACAGCGAGGAGACCGCACGCAGACTCCCGGATGGGGCCGTGCCCTCCCCAGCAGCGCCCAGCCCCACCCATCCTTACCAGGGCTGCCTGGCACCCTGGGCTCATGGTCTCCCGCCATGGTCTGCGTCTCTCCTCTCCTTTCTGCGCCTCCTCCCTGGACCTCGGCTTTTATGAGCCCAGGCCTTGGCCTCCGCAGCAACCACACCCCCTGACCCCCTCCCCAGACTGTTCCTCCCTGACTCAGGAAGAAGAACAAGGAACAAGATGGGGACACCAGCTCCACCCAAGAAAGTGGGGGGATCCGTGCAGGGCCGGACACAGCTGGGCCGGGATTTCAGGGTGGGGCAGGAGCTTGCAGCAAACTCGGGGTCCGAGGGCACCGTTTCAACCCGTACCCCGTGCTGGGCCTTGGAGCCTCAGGGTCTGAGCTGTGGCAGCAGACAGGTGTCCTGTCTACACTGTCCCCGAGGCTAGCACAGTGCCCCAGGAAGGGGTACACATCGCCTGCTCCTGGAACCACCCTCAGCACGGCCCGCCCTGAAGACTCAGATGCTGTTCTCCAGGGCCCACGGGACACAGCTGCCTTCCTTACGCTGGGCACAGCCCTACCTGGCCCTCCCAGGTGACCAGAGTGACACTGACACCTTCTGCCCCTCCCAGGCCAAAGGCTCCCAGCCAGGCGGTGCTGCCACCTCTGGACACATCAGCCAAGCCACCGTCGGGACCGAGCATCCCGTGTCCGCTGGTAGGAGCCGCCTTTCTGTCTTAGTCTGTGTGGGCTGCTGTCACCGGCTGTCATAAATGGGTGGCTTATAAAGGGTGGGTGTTTCTCACAGGCCTGGAAGTGGCGAAGCCCTAGGTCAGGGCGCCAGCGGATTTGGTGACTTTGAGGGCTCATTTCCTGCTGAATAGGTGGCGTCTCCCTGCTGTGCCCTTGCCCACTGGAGAAAGCTCTCCGAGGCCTCCTTCCTGCCCGCAGTGACCTCTGGTGTGATCGTTCTGTCCTCATAACCGAATCCCCTACCGAACGGCCCCTCTGACCATCACCAAGCGCGGTGAGTACCCATAGCTTTCCCTTGGGGCTCTCCTCCCCATCCGCACAGCTAACGCCTCAGTGCCAAGCTACTCCTCTGGGACACGTCTCGTGGGATGCTGAGCGTGGATCATCTCCTGCCCTTGCCCGCATCCAGTCTCCATCTGCTCCAAATCCCCGAACCGCTGCCCAAATTCTGTGACACCCTTGCCAACCCCTCCTTCTGAGGTGCCCCGTGGTTACCTGTGTCCGGCACCGTCCGCCCTGTGCTGGATCGATGCGTCTGTCACCCCAGGTGTGGTCCTGGTGGTCTTTGGTTAGGGGGAGTGTGGCACTCACGGTCTCTACAATCGCCCACATGAAACATTCAGTCACTGCCCTGCATTACAGACAGAGAAACGGCGGCATGGAGATGTCCTCTGGCTGCCTGTCCTCACCGTGCAGGTGGTGGGGCTGATCCGGAGCAGGAAGCGTCTCTTGAGTCCATGCTCAGAGCGTGGATCATTAGATTGAGTTTGATGTATTTTGTTTTCTTTGATGTTATTATGAAAGGTGTTGTTTCTCTAATTTCTCTCTCAGCAAGTGTGTTGCATACAGGATTGCTGTTGATTATTGAGTGATGACTTTGTATCTGTTTATGCTACCAAATTTGGTTATTACATCTAGAAGTCTTTCAATACAGTTTTTGGAGTCTTCTGTGTAAAGTATGTCATCTGCAAATACTAATAGTTTAATTTCTTTCTTTCCTATCTTTATTCTTATTATTTCTCTCTCTTACCTAATTGCTCTGGCTAGTGTTCCCAGAACCATATTGAATAAGAGTTGTGATAGTGGATATCTTTGTCTTGTACCTGATTTTAGAGTAAAATATTCCAGGTTTTGACCACTTAATATGATTTTGGCTGTTGGTTTTTCATAGATAGCTTTTATCAGATTGAGATAAACACCAACTTATTCCAATTTTCAATTTTTAAAAAATCACGAATGGGTATTGGATCTTGTAACATAGTTTTTCTGCACCTATGGAGCTAATCATGTGACTTTTGTCCTTGGCTCTGTTAATATAGTTTATTACATTTATTGATTTGTGTGTGTGAACCATCCCGGCATCCCTGGGATGAATCCCACTTGGTCAGAGTGCATGATCTTCTTGATGATTTGATGCATTCTACTTGTCAGCATCTCACTGAGAATTTTTGCATCTGTATTCATTAGGGAGATTGGCTTGTAGTTCTCTTTTTTGTATCCTATTCTGGTTTTGGTATCAGGGTAGTGCTTGCTTCTATGAATGAGGATCGAACTCAGGACCTTGCGCTTGCAAGGCAGGCGAGGAACCACTGAGCTAAATCCCCAGCCCACTCCACATTTCTTGAGGAATTCAGCAGTGAATCCATTAGGACCTAGGCTTTTCTTTGTTGGTACATGACTAATTATCTCTTCAATTTCACTGACTGTTATTGGGTTATTTAGAATTTTTATATCTTCTTGGTTCAGCTTTGGTAATTCGTATGTATCCAGGAACCTGTCCATTTCTTCTGTATTTTCCACCTTATTAGAATAAAGATTTCCAAAATAGTTGTTGATAGTCTTCTGGAATTCTGCAGGATCCATTGTGATTTCACACTTTTTATTTCTAATTGCATGGATTTGAGTCTTTTCTTTCCTTTTTTCTTTTTTTTTTGACAATGTTGGCTAAGGATTTATCAATTTTATTTATTCTTTCAAAGAACCAACACTTTGATTCACTGATTATTTGTATTGTTTTCTTATTCTCAAGTGCATTAATTTCTGTTCTAATATTTGTAATTTCCTCCTTCATACTGTTGCAGAAGGAATTGGCAAGTGACACACACATAGAGACCAGCTGAGTGGAAGTAAAATAATAATAAGTTGATTTCGTCAGAAAAGGGTTGATCACATTCAAAAAGGCCGTGCCAGTGATCCACCCCCTATTAGGTTGCAGCTTCCTCTTTTATAGGTTTTACAGCCTTGATCTCATTCAGGTGGTTACATTTCGTTTCCTCAGTTTACGTTACCCATGTACAAATCACAGTAGCCAGACAGTTCCCTTTAACCCAGATGTAACAATTCCTTTGTAGTTAGGGAGTTTACCTCCAGATTTCTCTAGCTGTCTATTCTAGTGCACAGGAAGCGGGTGTTAAAGGCCAGGGATGAGGCCAGATGTCCCACTTCATGGTCAATGTCTCGGGTGTCTGTTAATTTTGAACTAAACAAAGCAGATCACTGTTAGAGACAGCAGAAGTCATTTTATATTTTCCCAACATTTTGTAGGTTTTTAGATTATTTACAAAAGTTCTCTGTGTCTTTATGAGCTTTGGGCTTGACTTGTCTTCTTTTTCTACAAGTTGGAAATTCCACTTTAAGTTATTTATTTGAGCTTATTCTGTTTTTGCGATGTGAGCATTCACTGCTAAAAAATTCCCCTCATAAGGCTGCTTTCATTGTGTCTCATAATTCTCATAGTGTTGTGTTGGCATTATCATTTAATTGTAAATATTGTTTAATTTTATCTGTGACCCATTGGTTATTCAGGAGGGTGTTGTTTTAATTTCCATGTGTTTATAAAGTTTTTGTGGTTTCTTTAGCCGGTGATTTCCAGTTTCATGCACTATGGTCAGATAATGTGTGTGGCCGTGGTGCTACATGTGTTTCCGTTTGTCTAGTGGGAGGGTATGGGAGCCACACCATCCCAATGGTAACGAGAACACCTAACACCCAGACTTGGGTTCTGAAAGCCCGTCACTAGAAAGAAACCAAGGTTCTTTGGAGAAAAAGCTGGTTCCAGGGTATCTGAGTTACTTTTACCATTGCTGAGAAAAAATGCCCAATACCCAAAATTAAATGGGGAAAGATTTATTTTAGCTCATAGTTTATAGAGGTTTCAGTTCACAGTTGGTTGGCTCCAAGGCAGGGTGGCATCACAGAAGAGAAACAGTTCATGGTTAGCAGAAGACAGCAAAGTATCAAAGAAGCAGCAAGCAACAACAGCCCTCTTTCTGTCCCTATCCAGGGTAGGGCACTCTTCATTCTAGCATCAGACCATGAATCAATTTCAGGATCACACACTTAATCCCAACATCACACAATTTAGATACAGCAACCTCTGAAATGACCACAGGAGACTTTGAGGGGACATCTAGATACAAGCCATAACATTAGGATGAGGCAGGGAAAGTCTGCCACATCTAGTTGGGGCAGGGAAGAAGAAAAGTTAATCAACAAAAAAAACTGATAGAGCAGGGTGAAAGGATTCCACCGCCCAAATCAAAGGCAATTTAAGCATCAAGAGAAAAAAAAAGTCAGCAAAATGGCAGAGTAAAACTTCCCTTTCTACAAAAAGAGTGGAAAAAATGGCATGATTTAACAAAAATCGACATTTTTCAGAACTCTGGAAATTAACCAAAAACTCCCAGAAGTAGGGAGTATTGTATTTAGTTAAGAAAAACCTCACAAAAACAGCAAGCTCTGTGGAATTTTAATTTACCCCTGCCCTGTTCTCTCTTTTTCAGCTCAGAAATAAAAATAGCAGCCCAGCAAGTATTGCACATTTTCCTTAATGTGGGGAATCTAGGGGGAAAATAAGATAACAAGAAAGCAGAAGGGGAAACATTAGACAAGAGGAAAAGAGCAGGGAAGGGGAGAGGCAAACAATAAGGGGATGGCTAAGATCAAGATGTGCTGTATGTGTGCATGAAAGTGAGAAGCCCAGGGTGAAAATGAAGAGCAAAATAAAAGATAGAACACGGGGAGTAGGGAAATAGATCTTTCTCAAAGGGGAAGGAGATCAAGAGTTGGAGGGAGGGGAAGGAGGCACAGAATAAGGGATGAGAAAAGGCATCGCACTGTGTTGTGTATGTGTACCAACTCCACACAAGAAATGTAAACGTGACGTTGTACACACAGATACTAATGAACCGCAATAAAAAAGGAACTGCCACAGTGAAGCCAGTATTTGTAAAATTAATATGGAGATATATATATATACGTATGAAAAATAGCAATCCAGGGCTGGGGACTTGGCGCGATAGAAGAGCATTTTCCTAACAAGCATGAGCCCAGGATTCCAGCCCTAGCACCACGGAAACAAAAATAGAAGTCCATAGTCTTGAGATAGGAGGCAGAGCAGAGCTGCCACTCACTCAAAGGAGTCACTATT